ATTTTCATTCTCAAACTTTGTTGGGCTCTATCCCAGGAAGCCATCAGCTAAATATGAAGATTCTATACCTTTTAGTTCTTCAGAAGAAGTCGTTTGAAGTTTTTGACATATTTGACCCCTGTGACCTTGAAAACAGGTCAAGGTAATTTTCGTTCTCAAACTTTGTAGGGCTCCTACCAACGAAGCTTTCAGCCAAATATCATGACTCTAGGCCTGTCCATTCTTCAGAAGAAGTTGTTTAAAGGAAAAGTTGACGGACGATGAAGCCACGGTACAAAACACCACCGCAATATCATTATTGGCACCTATTAAGTTGAACAACAATCAGTACACAGTTTCTTACATGCTATTGGGATCTGATTAGCTGGAATTTCCAATTAAATAGTACTAAGTTTGTGCTAGATTAGGACAGAAAACATATACAAAAGCTTGTGATAAGATGATGAAAATGAGCAGTTTGGGGTTATTTGGCAAGTAGCTGCTAATTGCTGTAATTATTTGTTAGTAAAACTAGTGTCATAGTGAAAGGAAAATCAACAAAACGACAGGAGATATAAAAGTGTGCTCTAGAAGTGTACAGCATTTATAGAAGACAAAATTCTTTTCTGTATAATCTATAAAATTTGCCAAGATGAATATTTATACAGTTGTAACAAGAATGTCACAAAGTAATTAAATGAGAATTGAATAACACTTATCAAACAGAGAGAAAAGATTATTCTTCATTAACAATGACAAATGAAGGAGATTATATTGTTATAAATATATGAGTTGGTAAAATGGACAGTGGCTGTACTGTACATGAATCAAGAACCACAGATAAAGATGGTGCCTGTCTTATAGGATTTACCTGCCAGGGTAAAACACTTCCTTGTATGTACTTTGATAACTTCCTGTTAAATTAGGATTGTATATATTTCTATACAGAAAGGTTGTTATAAGGTGATCCTAAACAAAGTGATGTTATTCGGTTTATATGAAAACAGTTGAAGTTAATCCTTTAATATACATTACTGATACAAATTACGTCTCAATGAAAACAGGTATGGATCATTATTCCTATTTCTCTTTATGAAAATAACGCTGAGATGTAAAAGAAGACTTTTTTTATTACAAGAAGCAAGATCTTTTGAAAATTTGATTTTAAGTAACCTTCTACCGAAGTTATTCACATTTTTGTTTGTCCTGTGTTCCGACTATATAGCATAAATAAACTAGGGAGGTTTGACAGCACAGAGTGTTACAGATGTACTTACAGTACCCAGTCCCAGACCCTGTAATGATATAAACAAGGCCACATCACATCCCTTACTAAACAGCATACCCTCGCAGTATACAGTCGAGACAGCACAGAGTCAACACACTCGACACTTCCTATCAAGTGTAAGACAGATGATGGTCCTCAGAAAATTCACTTTCAGGGAAGAGTGGATTGAGCACCAGTAAGGAACAGCGAACCACAAGCAGTAATGAACTTAAAAAAACGGCTTAATTTACTCAAACATAGACCGGAATATGAGGTAGCATAATAATAATAATCCAACTAAGGACCCGGAACCAGGTAAATGAATCCGGAATACACTAGAAGTGGTGGAGGATGAGTTTGTATGTGTAACAAGACAGACAAAATTGTGATGAGTAAGACTGGCATTTGAATCTGAAACTCTTCAAACTAGAGGTGGAAGCTGTACCAATGATCACTGACAGTCAACACAGTCCAGGGCTTCTAAACATAGCCTATCCCTGATGTGCATCAAAGGTAAAGACTCCATTCAGAAATATCTTGATCATTAAGGTAATCTAGTTTACTCATTCACCCCCTGAAGACACATTTTAACTCTTCCATTCAATGGTTGGAATAGTTCATTGTGAAATTGCAGGGGTGTATGAGTTAAGCCAGTGGTGACCAAAGCTGATAGAATGGTATTATGTGAGATAGCTACATAGTAAACTACTTGCACAAAATCTAGTTGCAGAGTATTTGATCTGGATACACAACAGATATTTGCAAAGCATCAGAATATAAAATTTGGAAATATTTCTGACAACAATGTGTCTGTTCAAGTAAAGCTGGTTGAGAAAACAGGATAACTGGTTCAGGTTACAATGGGCGCAAAAGTGTTATAGCGATGTGTCTGTACAGGTGAAAATGGTGGCTGGAACAGTTCAGCTGGTTACAATCGTGCAAGAATTGTTTGGAAATACTAAACTGTAATCTATAGATGCAACAAAAAGTATTTCTTACATATAACACATGTATATACATTACATGAGTATACATTGTATATACACTATGATCAGTATTACAAGAACAATCTGCAAAAAAAATTATCTAATTAAACATCAATATCACTACCATTCAAATACCTTCTGAATTTTTGCAAAAATGTGTAACTTTTCAGAATCAATAAAATCACTTTTCAATTAAATAATTTTAAACTTATACTAGATCACTGACAGGCCAGTAAGGGCCCTGCCATGTGTCTGACTGTAACCCACCCCGAACCCTTGATGGTCTATTTGAGTAACGGTAACCTTGACCTTTGAAACTTTTTACGTCACATCTTCATATCGGTGTATCACCATGTCAAACTTTAAAAAGATCAGAAGTTTTGGATCCGAGACAACCACCATACTCCCTATGGTCTATTTAAGTAACATACTTCCTTACTAATTCAGTAACTTAATTAGGAACATGAACATTGACAGTACGAACCAAATATTCACGAAGTTATGTCATGTTTTAATAATGTTTTAAACTCACCAGAACAGTTCTAGATATTTTTTGAAAGGATAAAGATACACATATTTTACATAAATACGACATTTGTGACTTACAGGTAACACTATCCACTACTACATATTCTTTTCTTCAATAAGAGATTGTATCATAATTCATCTGTATTTAGTCTCTTTGTCACTTCTGACTTTCATGACATCATGTTAAGATAAAACTGTTGATTTGTGAGGTCACAAACTGAGGTCATACATTGTGTCACTAATTGATCATTAGGGCATAGGCTGAGGTCAGTCACTCATTGATCATGGGGTCACACATTGAGTCACTAATTGGCCCTACAGTCACAGGCTGAGGTCAGTCACTCATTGACAATGGGGTCACACATTGAGTCACTAATTGGCCATACAGTCGCAGGCTGAGGTCAGTCACTCATTGATCATGAGGTCACGCATTGAGTCACTAATTGGCCATACAGTCACAGGCTGAGGGCAGTCACTCATTGATCATGGGGTCACACATTGATTCACTAATTGGCCATACAGACACAGGCTGAGGTCAGTCACTCATTGACCATGGGGTCACACATTGAGTCACTAATTGGCCATTCAGTCACAGGCTGAGGTCAGTCACTCATTGACCATGGGGTCACATTTTGAGTCACTAATTGGCCATACAGTCACAGGCTGAGGTCTGTCACCATTGATCATGAGGTCACACATTGAGTCACAAATTAATGATAAGGTCACAGGCTGAGGTCAGTCACTCATTGATCATGAGGTCACACATTGAGTCACTAATTGGCCATACAGTCACAGGATGAGGTCAGTCACTCATTGATCATGAGGTCACGCATTGAGTCACTAATTGGCCATACAGTGACAGGCTGAGGTCAGTCACTCATTGATCATAAGGTCACAGGCTGAGGTCAGTCCCTCATTGATCATGAGGTCACACATTGAGTCACAAATTAATGATAAGGTCTCAGGCTGAGGTCAGTCACTCATTCACAATGGGGTCACACATTGAGTCACTAATTGGCCATACAGTCGCAGGCTGAGGTCAGTCACTCATTCACAATGGGGTCACACATTGAGTCACTAAGTGGCCATACAGTCACAGGCTGAGGGCAGTCACTCATTGACCATGGGGTCACACATTGAGTCACTAATTAATAAGGTCACAGGCTGAGGTCAGTTACTCATTGACCATGTCACACATTGAGTCACTAATTAATAAGGTTACAGGTTGAGGTCAGTTACTCATTGATCATGACATCACACATTGAGTCACTAATTAATGATAAGGTCACAGGCTGAGGTCAGTCACTCATTAATGATAAGTTCACAGGCTGAGGTCAGTCACTCATTAATCATGAGGTTACAGGCTGAGGTCAGTTACTCATTAATCATGACATCACACATTGAGTCACTAATTAATCATAAGGTCACAGGCTGAGGTCAGTCACTCATTGATAAGGTTACAGGCTGAGATCAGTTACTCATTAATAAGGTCACAGGCTGAGTCACTAATTGATCACATGGTCATCAAGTGCCCGTCTGATGTTTCTTACTTGTCGGAACGTCTCTTGGTGCATCTCTTGGTGCCGTGTGTCATAGTACTGCTCTATAAAGCCAAAGTACTCATTTCTCTTCCTCAGGAGAGTGGGTTCTCGCCGCTCTAGACTGGCTGGAAGGTAACCCTGCACCAAAACAAAATGGCATTGTACTTTTCATCAAATGTAGTAACTTATTCAAAAAAACAGAACAGCATGTGATTGTATGATTTGAGTGTTTTCTTTTTTATCAAATGTTCTTAAAGAAAGTTTTCACTTTTAATTTGCACTCTTGTTCAAGGAAAGAAAAGGGACAGAAATAAAAAATAATACAGTTTACTCGATAACATTATTTTAATTCTTGATTATACCATGAAATTTAAATCTCAGATCACAGATACAAATAATATGCACATTTGTACAGGTCCAGCAAGACATTGACAGTTTAAGGTTTTCACGTGTTACAGTACGTACAGAGAGTATTTTCCAGGCAGTAGGACGGACGGCTTTGGGAACTCCTGACCAGCTGAGCTTTCGGAGTTCATCTGTACCAAGAGATAGACCATCAACATTATACACATGATACAATCAAATCAAAGTTGTGTATTTCTACACCAGTGTGACCTACAACATTATACACATGATACAATCGAACAGTTCTGTATTATTTTTGATTTCACACTATTTACATCAGTCCTTCAAGTGCTTGAAACAGCAGTCCCAATAGTGGTTACCTGACCAGATGATGTTATAGTCTATCAACACGTAATGTAAATGTACATATTTAAGCTGTATTCTAATTTTACCACAGTCCACGCTTTTAATGTTGTGCTAATTTATTATTGAGCTAATGTAAGTGTCTGTATATAATTTCCTGTTATACATTATGAGTGCACTAATTCATCAATGTGTAATCTGTCATAATTTGATAATATGCTTAACTGTGAGACCGCTAAAATGTTCAGCCCACTAAAATAAGTACTTTCACAGTATCAAATTGTCTATGGAAGGCAATGGGAAGATGCAGAGTGAATGTAAGTATGAGCAAATGAAATGAAACCAGATGGATGTTTTTGGCAACAACGATATGTCTCACCTGTGCCCCGCTTTGACCATCACTGCACAAATCAGAGAAACAAACTTAAATGCAAAAACTTAATGTTGATGGGGATGCTGACAAAGTCAATGGACCATGAAAAGTAGGCCACATCCAGCATTTGATGTATGGGTTGAGATGTTCTACCTAAGATGCATCTATGGTGCAAGTTTGGTTGGTCTAGCACTTATACTTTCAGTGAAACTAAGTTAAAAGCAAAAACTTAATGTTGACGCCCCTGCAGTCACCGGAAAAGGAACACCTTAGTGTCTCAACAGAGAGCAACATCTGTACAATAGGCACATCATATCTTAAGTTTACTGAAGTGTTTTCATTCGTTTGTTTCCTTCTATTGTCATATTGTTAAACATATAGTTAAACACATGGGTATACAGTAGTGGACAAGGGTTTAATAACCTCTAATACATGAATATTACAGTAATGTTGTGAAAAAGATTTCTCAAAGCTCAAATTATTTCTTTACTTTAAACAACTCATCAAAGGCACTTTAATCTTTAGGTTTGTGCATGGTCTTAGTGAATGCTTGCATTATGACTATTAACAAGAAGCTTTTTAAAGGTTTAGACAAATTTGGCCACTCGGCACTGTGACCATAAAATAGGTCAAGGTCAATCATTTGATCTTTATAGCCCCTCAACCCGGCAAGCTGCTGGCGATATAGTATGACCCTCTTGGTAACTCAGCAGAGGTTTATTTATTAACTTTGTTAATCGACTGATAAATGATTTTCAAAGGGATTTTCCATATTCAAATACATCACACCCCATTAACATGATGCCAAGAGAATAACTGAATCTTCATACTGTACTACCAAGTGTGTTGACAGCTGTAATAAACTGAGGTTACCTAGGTCTGTGTTCTGTGCAGCCATTGCACTTCTGAACTTTTCCAGTTTGATGACTTGGCGGTCTGGCACTTTTTTCTGAGTTGGTCTGATGGCCGTCGTCTTGGGAGCCTGCCACCCCGTGTTCAGTCTCATTCCCACTCCAGGACCCGCTCCTTGGGAGGAGGTGGCTGATGGGATAGCTGTCACATGACCTGGTTATACAAAAACATAAAGCATCTTTAACCAAAATAGAGCTTTCCCTGTAGAAAAATTGAAATAATTTAACTTTGGCTATTCCTCCAAGGGTAGACTTGTTCAGGTTATATTGTAGATGTAAAACCTTGACAAATTATAGTGCACAAATATATCAACCATAATTTCTAATTACATTTAATCCCATAGATCTATAGATTAAACATTAAATTGCTAGCCTTGCGTTCTGTCATTTGACAACCATATTACATCTTATGCAGATTTCAAAGATGATTAAAGTTCAACATTCGCGAGTCAAAGTCTCAATTTTCCCCCAACGTTCCACAAAATTTGAAACATTGAGTTTGCCTGTATATCCAGTTTTATAATTTACTTTGCTTGCTGTCATTCTGAGCGTTGATTTGTTTGCTATGGTTGTCTATTACAGCCTCTGCAGTCTTGCGGACATCACGGAGAGACATCTGGATATTGGCCATGACCAGGAGATCGTCGTCTCCATCGTCCCAGGCGTCAGACGTCTTGTTCTCAAAGTCATGGAATGCATCTTTCTTGTTACTTCTTAGTTTGCCATTATCGTCTTTTTTACTGAAAATGTTAACAAGTAAAACTTCTTGTCATACAATAAAAATACTGAAGAAACATAATGACATGTAAAAGATATGAATATCAGTTTTGTGTTTGCCCTTTGTTTTTGATGCAGGGTTAAAGAACAGAATCAATACAGTACCTGTACTTTAGTCTGTACTAACAGAAACAATACGGTACCTTTGCTTTAGTCTGTACTAACAGAATCAATACAGTACCTGTACTTTAGTCTATACTAACAGAATCAATACAGTACCTGTACTTTACTCTGTACTAACAGAATCAATACAGTACCTGTACTTTGGTCTGTACTAACAGAAACAATACGGTACCTTTGCTTTACTCTGTACTAACAGAATCAATACAGTACCTGTACTTTGGTCTGTACTAACAGAAACAATACGGTACCTTTGCTTTAGTCTGTACTAACAGAATCAATACAGTACCAGTACTTTAGTCTGTACTTACAGAATCAGTACAGCACCTGTACTTTAGTCTGCACTAACAGAATCAATATAGTACCTGTACTTTAGTCTGTACTAACAGAATCAAGACATTTCCTGTACTTCAGTCTATACTAACAGAATCAATACAGTACCTGTACTTTAATCTGTACTAACAGAATCAGTACAGTACCTGTACTTTAGTCTATACTAACAGAACCAATACAGTACCTGTACTTTAGTCTGTACTAACAGAATCAATATGGTACCTGTACTTTAGTCTTTACTAACAGAATCAGTACAGTACCAGTACATTAGTCTGTACTAACAGAATCAATACAGTACCTGTTCTTTAGTCTGTACTAACAGAATCAAGACAGTACCTGTACTTCAGTCTGTACTAACAGAATCAGTACAGTACCAGTACATTAGTCTGTACTAACAGAATCAATACAGTACCTGTACTTCAGTCTGTACTAACAGAATCAGTACAGTACCAGTACTTTAGTCTGTACTAACAGAATCAATACAGTACCTGTTCTTTAGTCTGTACTAACAGAATCAAGACAGTACCTGTACTTCAGTCTATACTAACAGAATCAATACAGTACCTGTACTTTAATCTGTACTAACAGAATCAGTACAGTACCTGTACTTTAGTCTATACTAACAGAATCAATACAGTACCTGTACTTTAATCTGTACTAACAGAATCAGTACAGTACCTGTACTTTAGTCTGTACTAACAGAAACCATACGGTACCTTTGCTTTAGTCTGTACTAACAGAATCAATACAGTACCTGTACTTTAGTCTGTACTAACAGAATCAGTACAGTACCAGTACATTAGTCTGTACTAACAGAATCAATACAGTACCAGTACTTTAGTCTGTACTTACAGAATCAGTACAGTACCTGTACTTTAGTCTGCACTAACAGAATCAATATAGTACCTGTACTTTAGTCTGTACTAACAGAATCAAGACAGTACCTGTACTTCAGTCTATACTAACAGAATCAATACAGTACCTGTACTTTAGTCTGTACTAACAGAATCAATACAGTACCTGTACTTTAGTCTGTACTAACAGAATCAATACAGTACCTGTACTTTAGTCTGTACTAACAGAATCAATACAGTACCTGTACTTTAGTCTGTACTAACAGAATCAATACAGTACCTGTACTTTAGTCTGTACTAACAGAATCAATACAGTACCTGTACTTTAGTCTGTACTAACAGAATCAATACAGTACCTGTACTTTAGTCTGTACTAACAGAATCAATACAGTACCTGTACTTTAGTCTGTACTAACAGAATCAATACAGTACCTGTACTTTAGTCTGTACTAACAGAATCAATACAGTACCTGTACTTTAGTCTGTACTAACAGAATCAATACAGTACCTGTACTTTAGTCTGTACTAACAGAATCAATACAGTACCTGTACTTTAGTCTGTACTAACAGAATCAATACAGTACCTGTACTTTAGTCTGTACTAACAGAATCAATACAGTACCTGTACTTTAGTCTGTACTAACAGAATCAATACAGTACCTGTACTTTAGTCTGTACTAACAGAATCAATACAGTACCTGTACTTTAGTCTGTACTAACAGAATCAATACAGTACCTGTACTTTAGTCTGTACTAACAGAATCAATACAGTACCTGTACTTTAGTCTGTACTAACAGAATCAATACAGTACCTGTACTTTAGTCTGTACTAACAGAATCAATACAGTACCTGTACTTTAGTCTGTACTAACAGAATCAATACAGTACCTGTACTTTAGTCTGTACTAACAGAATCAATACAGTACCTGTACTTTAGTCTGTACTAACAGAATCAATACAGTACCTGTACTTTAGTCTGTACTAACAGAATCAATACAGTACCTGTACTTTAGTCTGTACTAACAGAATCAATACAGTACCTGTACTTTAGTCTGTACTAACAGAATCAATACAGTACCTGTACTTTAGTCTGTACTAACAGAATCAATACAGTACCTGTACTTTAGTCTGTACTAACAGAATCAATACAGTACCTGTACTTTAGTCTGTACTAACAGAATCAATACAGTACCTGTACTTTAGTCTGTACTAACAGAATCAATACAGTACCTGTACTTTAGTCTGTACTAACAGAATCAATACAGTACCTGTACTTTAGTCTGTACTAACAGAATCAATACAGTACCTGTACTTTAGTCTGTACTAACAGAATCAATACAGTACCTGTACTTTAGTCTGTACTAACAGAATCAATACAGTACCTGTACTTTAGTCTGTACTAACAGAATCAATACAGTACCTGTACTTTAGTCTGTACTAACAGAATCAATACAGTACCTGTACTTTAGTCTGTACTAACAGAATCAATACAGTACCTGTACTTTAGTCTGTACTAACAGAATCAATACAGTACCTGTACTTTAGTCTGTACTAACAGAATCAATACAGTACCTGTACTTTAGTCTGTACTAACAGAATCAATACAGTACCTGTACTTTAGTCTGTACTAACAGAATCAATACAGTACCTGTACTTTAGTCTGTACTAACAGAATCAATACAGTACCTGTACTTTAGTCTGTACTAACAGAATCAATACAGTACCTGTACTTTAGTCTGTACTAACAGAATCAATACAGTACCTGTACTTTAGTCTGTACTAACAGAATCAATACAGTACCTGTACTTTAGTCTGTACTAACAGAATCAATACAGTACCTGTACTTTAGTCTGTACTAACAGAATCAATACAGTACCTGTACTTTAGTCTGTACTAACAGAATCAATACAGTACCTGTACTTTAGTCTGTACTAACAGAATCAATACAGTACCTGTACTTTAGTCTGTACTAACAGAATCAATACAGTACCTGTACTTTAGTCTGTACTAACAGAATCAATACAGTACCTGTACTTTAGTCTGTACTAACAGAATCAATACAGTACCTGTACTTTAGTCTGTACTAACAGAATCAATACAGTACCTGTACTTTAGTCTGTACTAACAGAATCAATACAGTACCTGTACTTTAGTCTGTACTAACAGAATCAATACAGTACCTGTACTTTAGTCTGTACTAACAGAATCAATACAGTACCTGTACTTTAGTCTGTACTAACAGAATCAATACAGTACCTGTACTTTAGTCTGTACTAACAGAATCAATACAGTACCTGTACTTTAGTCTGTACTAACAGAATCAATACAGTACCTGTACTTTAGTCTGTACTAACAGAATCAATACAGTACCTGTACTTTAGTCTGTACTAACAGAATCAATACAGTACCTGTACTTTAGTCTGTACTAACAGAATCAATACAGTACCTGTACTTTAGTCTGTACTAACAGAATCAATACAGTACCTGTACTTTAGTCTGTACTAACAGAATCAATACAGTACCTGTACTTTAGTCTGTACTAACAGAATCAATACAGTACCTGTACTTTAGTCTGTACTAACAGAATCAATACAGTACCTGTACTTTAGTCTGTACTAACAGAATCAATACAGTACCTGTACTTTAGTCTGTACTAACAGAATCAATACAGTACCTGTACTTTAGTCTGTACTAACAGAATCAATACAGTACCTGTACTTTAGTCTGTACTAACAGAATCAATACAGTACCTGTACTTTAGTCTGTACTAACAGAATCAATACAGTACCTGTACTTTAGTCTGTACTAACAGAATCAATACAGTACCTGTACTTTAGTCTGTACTAACAGAATCAATACAGTACCTGTACTTTAGTCTGTACTAACAGAATCAATACAGTACCTGTACTTTAGTCTGTACTAACAGAATCAATACAGTACCTGTACTTTAGTCTGTACTAACAGAATCAATACAGTACCTGTACTTTAGTCTGTACTAACAGAATCAATACAGTACCTGTACTTTAGTCTGTACTAACAGAATCAATACAGTACCTGTACTTTAGTCTGTACTAACAGAATCAATACAGTACCTGTACTTTAGTCTGTACTAACAGAATCAATACAGTACCTGTACTTTAGTCTGTACTAACAGAATCAATACAGTACCTGTACTTTAGTCTGTACTAACAGAATCAATACAGTACCTGTACTTTAGTCTGTACTAACAGAATCAATACAGTACCTGTACTTTAGTCTGTACTAACAGAATCAATACAGTACCTGTACTTTAGTCTGTACTAACAGAATCAATACAGTACCTGTACTTTAGTCTGTACTAACAGAATCAATACAGTACCTGTACTTTAGTCTGTACTAACAGAATCAATACAGTACCTGTACTTTAGTCTGTACTAACAGAATCAATACAGTACCTGTACTTTAGTCTGTACTAACAGAATCAATACAGTACCTGTACTTTAGTCTGTACTAACAGAATCAATACAGTACCTGTACTTTAGTCTGTACTAACAGAATCAATACAGTACCTGTACTTTAGTCTGTACTAACAGAATCAATACAGTACCTGTACTTTAGTCTGTACTAACAGAATCAATACAGTACCTGTACTTTAGTCTGTACTAACAGAATCAATACAGTACCTGTACTTTAGTCTGTACTAACAGAATCAATACAGTACCTGTACTTTAGTCTGTACTAACAGAATCAATACAGTACCTGTACTTTAGTCTGTACTAACAGAATCAATACAGTACCTGTACTTTAGTCTGTACTAACAGAATCAATACAGTACCTGTACTTTAGTCTGTACTAACAGAATCAATACAGTACCTGTACTTTAGTCTGTACTAACAGAATCAATACAGTACCTGTACTTTAGTCTGTACTAACAGAATCAATACAGTACCTGTACTTTAGTCTGTACTAACAGAATCAATACAGTACCTGTACTTTAGTCTGTACTAACAGAATCAATACGGTACCTGTACTTTAGTCTATACTAACAGAATCAATACAGTAACTGTACTTTAGTCTGTAATAACAGAACCAATACAGTACCTGTACTTTAGTCTGTACTAACAGAACCAATATGGTACCTGTACTTTAGTCTGTACTTACAGAAGCAATATGGTACCTCACTTTATGATTGAACTAGTATAATCAATTCAGTACCTGTACGTCAATAACCTGTTTACCAGTTAATTACTCCTTTGTGTATAAAACACTCAAGTTTGACAATAATCTTATTTACTAAATCAATACACACAGCTGTTGTACATGTTAAGTATAAAAATCTCTGTATTTGTACAGGTTTAATGTAAAAATCTGATTCTCATAAAAAGATATCATATATATATTATATGAAGCTTTTTGATGATGGAGCAATTGTAATGAGAGGCACATATGGCCATCTGAACTTGACAAGAGGTTTTAATGTTTCTGCTAACTTGAGACTGAGGTTGTCATCTAATTTTTCTTACAGTATATTGACCAAAAGCACTAATGTTACCAAAACTTGGTAACAGTAATGATATTAGCATTTCTGAGAGATTTTGTTAAAACTGACCTGCTAGAATAACTGACCTACTAGAATAACAGACCCGCTAGAATTGAGAATTAAGCAAATATGACTCAGACAATCAGGTGGCTAAGAATTAAAACCAACCCATAAAATAACAACATCTGTTCAGAATGCTGAGAGCAGTATTCATACCAGTTTGGTCACCATTGGTCTGGTTGAAATGAATAAAATCAGTCAGTGGAAGGATTGCCTGCCATTTTCAATTGAGAATTAATACGAAAAACTTTCAACACTTTGTCACATTTGTATACATATTGATAGTGCAGGAAAAAGAAAACAGTTTTATAATCATAATAAAATAACATACGGTCAACTTCAACTTTAAGTGTACAAAGTGCCTCCCTGTAAACATTTTGCTAGTTAATTACAGTGTAAAGAAAATGTTAAATTTACCTTTTACTAGGAAGTGAAGCTTGTTGCATAGGTGGGTGCTGTGCTCCATATACTGGCTTGATGCTGAAAAAGAAACACTTGTGAAGGTACTTCATACTTTTCATGTTTACCAGGTAGTGAGTTTTTCTCTACAACCATCTACATATATGAACAACTAATCAGAAGATATGCAAGAAATTTTTCATCTGACAAGAGGAAGTAAAATCTATGTTACAATAAGTGTTGAATGTGTACATGACGTAATGGTACAGGTCACTGTTGTCCTGAATGGTCCCCGAGGCGGCTAAGAATCATTCACTATAATCCAGAACAGTCTAGCTGACAGGTGTGGTTACCTGAGGCTAGATGTCTATCAGCTGGTATGCTTTAGTACTGATGACCACCTACTCTTAATGTGTGTCATCTAAAACCATAACTATTACAAATATTGTGTTTATCTGTTTATCACAGCGGCACTAATACAACCAGACCTAATGTCCAACCACAGTTCAGACCTCTATCAATCACAGCGGGCACTAATACAACCAGACCTAACGTCCAACCACAGTTCAGACCTCTATCAATCACAGTGGGCACTAATACAACCAGACCTAATGTCCAACCACGGTTCAGACCTCTATCAATTACAGTGGGCACTAATACAACCAGACCTAACGTCCAACCACAGTTCAGACCTCTAGCAATGAAATTGTTGAATCTGTCAAATTTCTCCATGTACAGTATGAATCCAGCATTACATAAGATCCTACATAATTTCAAATACAAGTTGCAAATATATAGCTGACTGCATTTTAGATAATTAAACTATGGTATGCACATTTCATAATAAAGGTTTTCCTGAAGAATAACAGAGCACTTGAAAGGAAGAGCATACAACATACCTCTATACCTTCTGAAAATTTTCATTGGAATTTGAACTCATTTATAACTCAGTTTATCAATGATGAATGTTCTTAATCTGCAAATTAATACGGGTAAGACACTAACTTATTTTGCTTGGAAGTCAACAGGACAAGTTGAAGAGATTATTTGCTAGTCTTATGTCAATTTAAGTACCAAGTCCAAGATTTCCATAGGAACCATCTCCAGCACGAAACACACAGAAAGTTTAAATTGATTACCGTATATAGGGAACATAAAATAACTACCGCTATTATGATATGGTGAAGTTTTTAGGAAAATGTGACAATAATATGCAATATATTGTTATTAATAATTTGAGGTTCTTATATACCGCTTTATCACAACCTAGTTTGTAGGTCATCTCAAAGTGGTTCACAAATTATTATTTATGGATATAGGGCCATTGCAACCAGCCAATATCTTTCTCAACTCCCTGGGGAGCATACAGCCTGAGCTGCCATTTCGGCGCTAACAGCTAGCATTCAACAATTCTAGCACTGCCCAACCACGTACTCATTTACAGCTGAGTAGCCTGGAACAAGCGGAGTAAAGTATCTTGTTCAAAGATACAACACAGTGCCATGCCGTGACTCGAACCCGTAACCGTTCGGCCAGGAGCCTGGCATCCTACCACTAGACTATCGTGCCTCCTAATGATTTTAAGCAGTTTTTCAAAATGAATGTTCTTATTTTTATAATCTATGAAATGATATTGTGATAACAAAGGACCAGTTAGATTAGGTGATAGATAGTCCTTACTGAAATCTTTAAGTCTCAGACTAGAGAACTAGTGTGTGTGTCGAACCCTGTTAGTTATTTCACAATGAAAAATGCTTGAAAATAAAACTTAGTCTTGGTCCAGTCAAGCTACTATGCAAAAGACTAAAATCTTGTGAATGTCAAGATGAAAATGAAACTTGTGGAGTGACGTGCAGGACGTGTTGTATAAGTCTAGTAAGGCCAAATAAAAATATGTGTGTTTTCAGTTTTGGCTCCAAAAAAAATAGGGAAGGTAGATAGGAAATACATTTTATTTTAATTTTTTAATTTTATTTATTTTTCTGGACGAGAAAATCTCCTGATTACCTCCTTGAATGTTGAAAATATGTAATTGTTTTAATAAAGTATGAATGGCACCAAATATATATTTTTTTATTCATGTAAAATAAATACACATATTAAAAAATCCATGCATTCCTAGTTTTTGTGTTGAGTAGGCTCAAACCGCACATAAAAGTAAATTATTATTTGACCCACCTAAATGTTTATGGAATAACCAATGTAATTAATGGTTAAGTGCTGCAACCAGTGTTACATTTCTAAACTATCCCTATAGCTACTGGACACTAGTGTTTAGTAATCCAAACTCCACTGATGGTCACCAGTGTTACGTTCTCGTTTGTATCACTAGCTGATGCTTTCTGTTCACAATTTCCACTGCCACCAGTTTAAATTAATTGAACAACAAGATAAGTATAGTAATATTTACACTATATTTACAACACAAGTTCATTATTACTAACTTCCAATCCTAATTCTCACTTTAACTCTAACTTTCTAACTCTCCTCTATATCTTTAGACCTCTCAACTCTGTCTCCTTAACTCTGTCTCCTTCCTCAAGACTCCTTAACTCAACTTCCCAGTCCCCAACCCAACTCTCTTCTCTTCTTCTTCTTCCAGGCTGAACTACCTTACTATCTGTCCCTTAGCAAAATCCTGCTACATTGAAAATGTTGATACATTAAAATTGTTGATGCTGCTGAAATCCTGATAAATTTTGACCCCTACACAACTAGATTAACTGGCCATAAATCTTGCTAAATTTGACTCCAGGGGTCAGCATCAGCTGGAGACACAAACTCTGACATCAAAGACTGGACTCCCCCCACCTACAGTCCTACACTACAGACAGTCACACTAATGTACAGATCCCAACCTGTATCATAATCACAATTAGCTATGGCTACTCAGCTACCATCTTCAAATAAAACTCTGACACTGACCATGAGGCAAGGCTAATAAAATGCATTTCTTATACTTGTAATTTTGTGATACATCATATCAAATCAATAAACACAATTAATGAAATCATATACAAAAGATTAAGATATGAACCACATTGTAATTGTTCAGTGTTTATCATGTAGCTACAAATTAGGTGTAAAATTTAATCTAGTTCCAGTCAAGTGCAAATACCAATCTCACAATCTGAGCCTGAGTCTACTCATACAGGGTCAGGTCAGACATAAGTGCATGCTCTTATAAACAATGTACAATTCCAAAAGGCCTGACACCCCAGGCTAGCACATTTCATAAGAGCTGGTGAAAACATTCAATATACAGTGGATCCTCGTTATCTCGAAGTCGAAGGGGTCGTGGAAAAACTTCGAGTTATCCGAGTATTTGAGTTATGCGACCTCGTACTATACAATGCAGAAATGAAAATGCGCAAATTTAAAACAAATCACTGTAATGGAGCAATTATATATGCATAGTTGATTCTGTAAATGAAAAGACACACAAACAGATTATATCGTACATGTAACACATTGATTCGTTAAAGCCAAAAGTGACACCTGACACCTCCTCAACTCGATGTATACGTAATCAACAGCAATTATTGTATTGTTCTTAATCTCTCGATATACTTTTAAAGCCATACTGGCTCCTGTAAAAACATGAACCTGTGAAGCTGGTTGTGATTTTAACTGTGGAACTCTTTTATGCACGACCACGCTTTGTGACCAATTTTCCAGTTTGCACCGTCGTCTGTTTGGTTGTACAAATCATTAAACGGACTCACAGTAGGTACAGAATACTGTTGGTCAACATTGATGAAGTTTGTTTTTTATTATGAACAACATGGTTTTGACAGTCCGCACACTTTACAGTCCGATTGTTTTTTTAAAATTCTTTTTACCGATTTCATACTAGTCTACTCACGAAAGATGTTCATAAACACGGAATGGCGAGATGTCATACTTTTGCATTTTATTTGTATCAAATAATTAACAAGTGACAAAATGAAATTTGAACACTATGAAGTAGACAATGTTTTGATGTTGGATTTACGCTATTGAAACCAATATTTTACTTCGAGGTATCCAAGTTTTTCGACTTTTCAGGGTTCAAATTATCAGAGTTTTATTTACTAAGATAAAGAAGAGATTTGGCCGGGACAAGAGAAATACTTCGAGATAAACGGGGTCTTCGAGTTAAAAGAGTTCAAGATAACAAGGTTCAACTGTATATGAAACAATAGGCTAGACTTTATTTATTTTTTAAATGTGAGTCAGTACTCTTAAAACACATATCACGCATCTGCCTGGTGATAGCATTTTTATTTTTTTTGTGACAGAATATCTTCAATATCAGTTGTATGGAAAAAAAATCATGATTAATTTATCAAAAATTCCACGCCACCTGTGACAGGTTCTACCCTCACACTTGTGACAAAGACCTGCTAGTTATACCTGTAACTTATGGCTTAATGTTAGAAGTGGAACCGAAAGTGCAGTTAATGAGTTACCAGTATACGTGTAGTTTTCTTTTCCCAAAATTAAAAGTAAACATAATATTATTATGAACATAATTGACATAGGGTTTGACTTCGATAATAAACGCACTGGACCGTTATAGACACCGGGGGCGTATTTAGAGTATGGTAATTTGTCCTTGACCAGACTTAAAGTTATATTGGTGATCCAAATATGGAAACACCGCTCGTAAACTGTTTGACAGAGTCGATGTGCAAGTAATATTTACCTCCCCGGGAAACTTGTTCCCTTTTTCCAAAACCCCGGTTTGCTTCCCTCTTTAGCAGTCGAAGTGCCCGGACGAGACATGTCTCTGTAGATCTTCGGTCTTGGATCCAGGGAGCATACTACAACGATTATAACGTGTCTATATCATTTTGGGGGATGAGCTGGAAAATAAGTGTTGACAATATGGCGAAATCGTGACGTGCACTTCCGATACTCAGACTTCCTACTCGATTCTGGGTCACCTGAACTTTTTAGGGACCATTTCAAAAACAAATTTTTGATATTAAGGACAAATGTGCGTTGATTTTTTCAAAAAATATCTGAAAAGAAACTTGGTCTCTTTTTGCCAAAATTCCACGTTGGTTGCAGCACGGACTAAGATAATCTAATTCCGTGATTGCAGTTATACATTGTTGCAAGGCTAATGAGTCATTTAAAATTATGCCCTAGTTTTCAATTATATTGATTGTTGTATGCAATTTGCTGTTGTGTCCCTGGCAGAGACGTAAATATATTCGAAGAGGATTGTACGTTTTGGAGATTTTCGCAAAATGGCGACGCCATCTTAGTTCACTTGGTGCGGTCTAAGGGATATAACTCGTTGAAGACTATATTTCTTCTGTTGAGTTTCCTATGATGTCTAGCGACGTTCATTTTTCAAATTTGGTCGTCTAGGGAATTCTATGTAGACAAATCGTGACATCATAATGGGGAGGAAATCAGCCGATTTCTGACCATCTATGTATATCATGCTGTGATTTGAAAACTTCAGTTTTCAAAAGTGTCCTGTAACAAATGCAAATAATGTCACGGACTTGAGTGTCAATTCTTCCTATAGCTAAACCACATTGAAGTAGGTTAGTACTATAGTAACGTCCCATGTTGCACTATATTAACTGATTTGCCACACACACGAATTATATGGCAATGTTACAACAGCTGACAACGTCTGTCGGGGTGTGTTAAGACCACTATATCCAAGCCCTGTGTAATACAGCTCTACTAGAACATACAGAAAATCCACTACTGTGGCAACTGTAGGATCCATGTAATGTCCTTCCCTTCTGCCACAAAACTGCATCCACTTCCTGGTGTATGTTTTCATAACAACGCAATTGTGGTTGGTCACCACGCGTCCATGATGCTATCAACTGCCTCTTGTGAAATGTCCTCACCTGGTAATTCTTCCCGACAAACGGCAAGCCACGAAATTCATTTGTTTCTTACTAGTGGGTCTCTGTCTCCTTCTACCCTGGAAGACACGTCTCTACCAGAAAATCTACTTTTTTTGTAGTAGGACGAGGAATAGTAATAAAGATAGTGCCGTCGCTGGGGCTCGAACCCACGCCCCTTGGCTCTCCAGCCCGATGCTCTACCGCTGAGGCAAAGGGAAATTCCCTACAGCTGACGCTTGTAAGGCTAACCTAATTAATCCACATCTTTTACAGGAAGACGCTGTGGAAACAAGCACTGTGTTGCCCTAAGCCTTGCTGGCACTATCCAATTTTTTACGACAGACTGAACAGACTGTAAAGCGGAATACAGTAACACAAATTACAGGTATATTCCATGACATTGAAAAAACATTAACAACAGAAGCATCTTGATTGACTGCCGGGCTTTGGAACTGGAAAAAAGGCTTAACTGTTGTTTCGTCGATTATTCCAAAGCCTTCTACACTATTACACATGACAAGTTTTGGCTCAAATTGATACGTTGTGGTATAACGGGATTTTTTAAAAAAGTAATCAAGTCAATGTATAGCCATGTAAAAGCATGTGTTATTTCAAATATACTATTGGTTTAATGCAAGGGGAATCATTGTCTCCCCTTCTAACTATTTTTTTTGTAAATGACATAGAATGAGGTTTTAAATAATGATTGTGAGTCATATGAGCTTAATATGCTTAATTTGTACCTACTTACGTACGCTGACGATTCTGTGTGATTTAGCGAAAGTATAGATGGTCTACAGAAAATGTTGGACACTTTAAGTAATTATACTGATAAATGGAATTTAAAACTAAATGTTTCAAAGACAAAAATTGTTGTCTTCAGGAAGGGTGGCATTGTTAAGCCGTGCGAAGATTGGTTATATAATGATGTACTTATTGAAGTAGTTAATTCCTTTAATTATTTAGGAATTTTGTTTAACTGTAATGGTTCCTTTTTACAGACTCCGAAGAAACTCGGTGAACAAGGTAAAAAAGCCTGTTTGGGATTATTTAAAAGTATTGAACACCATTATTTTAACGTTGAAACTCTTAGCACTGTTACTTATAGTGGCAGCATACTTAACTATGGTTGCGAAGTATTGGGCCACCATAAAGGTGATATGATCGAACAAGTTAAAACTGTTTTTTTAAAGAAAATACTGTCTGTAGATAAGACTTCATCACATGCTGTTATACTTTGAACTAGGAATATTTCCTATGTATTTGACAAGAATAAGTGAAATTGTAAAATATTTGTTGGAGCTCCTCAGGTCAAGTAATCGTACTCTAACCTGATGTTATAATGTATTATTTGATGACTGTGTGTCAGGTAATGTCAAATGGGTAACAAATATAAAAGAGCTACTATGTACTTATGATTTTGCTGAGATATGATATGCTCAGAAAGTATTTAATGAAAACGTGTTTATTTTTGAACTCAAGCAAAGAGTAAAAGATTGTTTCATACAAAACACTTCAATACATCTTACCAATTCATCAAAGTGTTATATTTACAAACACTTAGTAGATACTTTAACACTTCAATATTATTTATGTAAACCTGGTACAGATAAATACAAGAAAATAATGTGTAAAATACAGGCTTTCATCACAAAGTCTAAACATTGAAGATATATTAATTTGGCGAGACACCTTAGAATGTGTGCCAAATGTAATTGTGGATGTGTAGAAGACGAGTATCATTTTATTCTTGTTTATAATTTTTATTCTGATATTAGATCAAAAGATATTAAGCCATATTTCTGGCGTCGCCTTTCTGTCTTTAAGCTTGTACAACTTCTGTCTGTAAGGAATGTAAAACAACTAAATAATATTGGTAAATGTTTGTGTATTGTCACTGCCAGGCGTGACAGCTGATAGTAATATTATTGTGTGATATTGTATACTACATTTATTAATTGCACAATTTATGACAAGGACTGAAATTGTTTTCACATCGTTCAGCCTCCGTTATCTTGTGTATAATTTTAGTATGTTTAACACATGTATGTTATGACTCCTATAAGCTGTACTGCTTTTGGAATAAACTTAAATGAATTGAATTGACTGCCAGGCAACATAAAGTTTAATTTGGTAGTTTAGGTGCGAAGCAAACAAATCAATTGCTGGACTCCCAAAGTTGTCGACAATTTCCCTTAAAAGTTCTGCATTTAATTTCCACTCCGTTCTATCATGGAAGGTACATGTACAAAAGTCTTTGTTTGCTATTGAGTGAATGATTGCTGCTACATTCTCTATGCCTGGGATATGTGTAGCTGTGAGCCAAATATTTGTCTCTGTACACCACTGCCAAACACTTTTAACCATACTGTTGCAGCATGGTGACCATGTTTCCCCCATGTGATGATTTTAAAATAATAATAATAATAATATACAGCATTTGATATAGCACCCTATGTAGCTAGCATAAGCCACTCTAAAGCACTTTACAGTACAAAGATATAAATTAATACAATAAGTATATACATAAATCAATCCAATTTTTGAGGAATTCGCAGGAGCTGCCTTATCAGGCGCTAACTACTAGTCCTGTGCCACCTGGCTAATGTCTCCCTATGTGTGTATGCCTGTGCTGGAGATGTAATGTGTTCTGGTTGTAGTGGGACCGTGCTTCCAACGGTATCATTTATAGTGCCACCTCACTTGAATGCTACAACACAGATACCGCAACATCCACCCCAGACCATGTTATACTCCACCTGGGTTGTTGGAGTTGGGTGGGCAGGAGAAAAACATTTTCTCTGAATATCCATGCGTACGACGACTTCGGGGATCGAACCCCGGTCACCTTAATGATGCTTTAGTGCCTGTAACTTATCACATTATATTGCTCTGTACTGCAAAGTACCTATATCTGTTGCTGGAATGGACGACATCAGTAAACCGATCATTATGGCCACATTGTCTGATATCTAGTCTTTGTGTTTTGAGCACAAATTATACTCTAAAACTTCGATAAGGAAGAGAACAAAATGGCGAAAAAAAACGCTTAATAAAAACAAAAACAAGAGAATTATCTTTCATGAAACAAAATTCTGTTTCATAAACATAACAATTGACTGCATGAAGATTAATTTCAGAAATGTAGAAATTCATTGAATATAGAGGAAAGAAAATGCAGGTGACCTTTAATTTGGCACAGGATTGTACATCTTCGCCGTTTTCGGTACTGGATTTAATGTCTAGCGTATCACAAGAGTACGTCCTTTGTGATGCAGGGTAAAAACAAGATGGCGACTGTAAAAAAAGAGAATGTAGGAAGAACTTATAAAAAAGTTGTAAAAGATGCATGATTTGTTTTTCCTCTTTCCTTTCCGCTGTCTTCGCGACATCCTCAATATTCCAAGGGGTTACGCCTTCTTACATTCACTGCACCCCTGGGACGAAAATCGGAGGCTAGGTGTACCCGCCACCATGTGCATGTACAACACTGCCATCAAACACAGTCTGCTACATGTACATGATGTCACACAGAAACAGATCGAGCCATGCGTTACAAAGTCATCAAAAATGCCAGTCTGAGTCTAATGAACAGTAAAACCGTCTAAACTAGAAATTTGTGAGTGTTCATCAAAATCAATGTACTCTTTTAAAAGTTATTTTAGCGGGGGGTTTATTTATTTTTAATTTTAAGAACATTTTGAGTGATTTTCTTCATCTTACATTCGGCGTCCCTCAAGGGTCAATTTATGAAAACAATTATGTATGCTGATGACACCGCAGCGCAGTGGCAAATAAAATAACTAACGTTATAAATAAAAAATATCAGTGCTGAGGCAAAATTACTGTTAAACCGGTGCGATGAAAACAAGATGTGCATAAACACAGAAAAATACTTAAGTTTTGCTTGTTACTACTTGACAGAGAATAAGAATTGAATTGTTATCAACAATGTAAAGTTAAGTTTGGTTAGTATTGTTTAACATCATATCAACAGCTATGGTCATTTAAGGACGGCCTCCCCTGGGTGC